CCATAGTGCCAAAACGAACACGAACCCTACGGTACTTTTCCGTGGTCTGGGAATTCATTTCGTGCCGAGCAGCCATAACATCAATGTGACCGAGTTGTTGCATCGTCGCATTTGTCGGGATTTTGACGGGGGCGGACGGCGGCAAACGAGCCGTCACGACAGTAGCGTAGTCGGTTTGGAGCGGGCCAAGGGCCTGGCTCTGGTCCTCAATGTATCCTGCAACGCGAGCTGCCGCAGTCACGAGGTTGTTCGAGGTTGTTCGAGGTTGCACGTTCTTATCGCCGTGCCGATGTCTTTTTCTATTTCGTAAATTACAATATGTCTTTTTCTATTTCGTAAACTTCAATATGTGAATAATCTCTACAAAATTTTGACGTATTCATATCATTCGAGCTTTTTACCGACGTAAATAAAGAGTTGCAATGTGAACGATGCCTGGGTATTGCGTACTTTGCTTGCGTTATCCCAAACTTGTCAAAGAACAACGTTGTAGTTTACTAGTGTGACTTTGGTGTACTCATCCTGGGTCGTGTTGGCTGCAACCTTTACACACACTTCCGTTGGAACCTGTGGGTCCCACAGGAGCTTGGCATTCGATGTGTCGGCGTGGTAGTCGGCAATCGCAGTGGAGACGTTTTTAACGACCAGGGCAGACACAACACCAAACGTCGTGTCGCTGGCCACGGTGAGTTCGGTTGGCTTGCCAACGCTCGTTCAACTCTTGCCCAAGGGTTTACCTACCTTGGTAGTGATGGCAGCGAAAGTTCTCCGGGAACTCGACGGTCAAGCGTTCGCGCTGCATGCTGGTGTCAACCACTTTGTCAGTGAGATGCTCCAGTGAGTAACGACCGGGCTTTATTTAGCTCGAGTGCCAGACTCACGGTTTGCGTTGTTTAACGTGTGGTTTTATATTTGACATCTATTGATTTGCGTGATAAAACAATGGGCAAATTGGGTGAAAAGCACAATATGCTTTATCTATGTTAATATGTTCTTGAATTTCAAAGTCCAATCGGCGGCAACAAATGTGCTGCCGTCATTTTGTTCATACAAATGAGGACATTTCGGCAGGAGCCCAGAACGTTGTCGAGCATGCCAATGCCGCCAAAACGGCTAACCCTCTATCAAAAGCGGAAGTACATCGGTACTTACACAAACAACCGCATGGGCTCAACGAGAGTTTGGTCTCAAGGTCCACCCGACCACCGTTGGCCACATTGTATATTACGTCGCACGCCTTTTGGACACTTTTGGTCAATCTACTTCGAACTGGCCCCTACAGGTCCTGCAAATACGGTTTAGATGGAATTCATCCCAAAACCCCGAAACCCCCAATCTGCCTGCCATTTCTACACTCTCTGTGATTTCAGACCGCGGTCGCAGATTTGAGCATAAGTACTTACCGGTATGGTGAAAGATATAGTATTCAGTCCAAACACTGCCGTTACTGTGAAACATCTGTAAAGTAGAATACTTGGACGGAAACCTCGGATCGACATTTGAAAAGAGTCAAACAATCTCAAGTCTACAGGGGATACAGGTCCTACGTAGTATTTACAACAAACAATAACAAGCGCCGCGTTTTCTAGGATTTAGCCATGGCCGCGGTCACCACTTGGTCCAATACAGTCAAGTAATTGCGTGCAAAATACGATCGGATATGGTTGGAGTCTTTGAGCACGGGCTCGCCTTCCTTCATCGACACCACTTCGCATACATCTTGAAAGCACTGGTTGTCTGCAAAGTCAATGATCGTCGCATTCGCAGCCTTGGTCGCGTCTTCAATCAAGTCCACCATCACCTTGTGTTGTTGTCGAAATGCAGCTAAA